CAAGGCCCTACTGGACTACAGAAGACTGCATCTAAAAACAAACTAACCAAACAAAAAAGGGCACCGTGACTTCTGTGTTCTGAAAACAGCTGAAGGGCTGTTGTTCCTGCTGCGGCGGCTAACCCCACGGGAATTTGGTAGAAGTTCCTTCTCCAAATGGGGTCTGATCCTAGAAGTACAAGGTGACCTTCTTTCCAGGAACAGCAGAGCAGGGTGCAGAAAGACTCCCTCGATCCTCCAGAACCCACAGGGATGGCCTCACGATGGGGGCAACAGCTAGGGCCGAGTCAAAGCCAAGGCAGCAGCTAGGCTGAGGCATGTGGCTGAGACCAGTAGGAGAGGAAGGAGCTGAGGAAGGAGACTGAGTGATAGCATCCAATCCCAGATGCTGTGTGAGCTAGTCAGCACAGCAGGGCGCAGTTACGTCTCCAAGGTAAACATACAACGTCTACCTGTCCTGCATGCAGAAGACACAGAAGCATTTGTATTACAGAGGAGAGACCTATGTTAACCCCGTACCTTGTTTCCTCTTAGTTGACTTTCAAGTTACTGACTTTGGGGGTCACACCTAGGAGACACACTTGTGGGTACGTCTGTGTACAAGGCTCATCTGAGCAAGGATGAGCACTCGGAGTGTGGACAGCTCCATCCCAAGGACCAGGAGTCCCAGATGAAGAAAAGGTAGACAGGATTCAGCATTCTGATGGAGTTGAGCCCCAGCATCCATCGCTGTTTCCTGAGGGACTGTGGATGTCACGTGACAACTGCCTCCCTTTCTTGCCTCTGTGCCTTCTCTGAAGTTAGGCCTCGGATCTCAGAGGCTGAGTCAAGCCCCACCCCCCTGTAGCTCTGTCTGGAACAGAGAGGAGAGAGCCAGGCTGTGCTCTGAAGAGACAGCTCTCCATTTATGACGCCTGGCTTCTCCACACTCTCAGTCACCCACAGTATGTTGACCTAAATCACCTCCTGCCACCCCTAAAATGTGTCTACGCACTCTGGGCTTTCCCCACACCCACAGGTGGGTTCCCTCCCCTGTGGTCTGAGGAATGTTAGTCAGCCTCTCTCATCCAGCAAGTGTCCCATGACCTTTCCAAAGTTCCTGAGCCAACTAGACCAGGAATGTTAATTAGCCTCTCTCCCTTCCAAGGGGACAAGGGTTTGAAAGTTCCTCTTCAGGGCTCTACTCATCTCTGTGTGGAAGCAAACTGTTTGTTGGAAGAGAGAATACAAGCATAACGTGAATAGACTTCCCTTCAGGGCTCTCTTCCCGACACCATAACTGAAAAAAGCAGAACATGAACGTGATCAGAAGAGCAGGTAGAGAACTCAGGGTTAACATGGGAGGGAGGGGTACTCCAGGGTGTAAAGGAGCTTGCAGTTAAACCCTACTGATCCGAGTTTGATCCCGAAGACATACAAGGGTCTTGATGCAACTTGATGAAGCCATTTCTGTTAGTATTCTGTCTAAACTCCACCTCCACAGTTAACTGGCAACAGCCAAGTAGGCCTGCCCACTATGCTTGCCTCCTTCTCTCCCTTGTCTCTTGCCTCTAGCTTCTCTCTGTCCCCTCGCCCTTCCCCACTGGTCAGAGTAACCATCCACATGGTCCCAGGAAAGATTTCTTGAGCTCGGAGCTAACCCTTGGGTGAGACACTTCCCCTCTCCTCTTGAGACTGTTTCTCGCAGCTGAGTACCCCAGGCAGGGCCCGGACAGACTGTCCTCTCTCTCTCTCAGGAGCACTGGCTACAAGCTCTAGTCCCCAGCGTATCTCCCCCAGGGGTCAGTCTTTTGCTCGCTTCTCCCCTTCCTCTTCTGTCATTTGCAGCCGGCTGTACCCACTTAGCTCATCCAGTTTGCCAACACCCTGCTTGCTCCCTTCTCCTCTTTGTTTCTTAGCTCTGCACTGAGTCTACTCCTTACATTCTGGCAGAGACCCTCTCTGAGACTTGCTTCCCCACATGGGCAACCACCCATGCAAAAGGCTTGGCTGCCGGCGCACGAGAAGGAGGCTCTCTCCTCTCTCCCTATCTGCCCAGGACCTGTAAAGTGAGTGCTAGCTGTGCCTTCCACCACAAACACAGCTAACATGAACGTTGCTGTGATACGAGACACTCTTGCTTTTCCTTGCCCACTGCAGACTCTAGCTGCCACAGTCACTGGGTAGCGACTTCTGGCAGCTAGTAGGAAGTCCCACCCTACCACCACAGCTGCAGACCTGACCCGCAGCACCTATACCCTCAGCTGCGGGTCCATAGCAAAACCCCAGGTAATGACCTGTGGCCCACAGCCCTAGCCTGCCAGCTTTCTTATTCTGGTCCTAGCCAAATGTTTCTTTGCTAATACAAAAATGTACTTTTCTCTGCCTACACAACCCGCCAAAGTTACTTAAGACTCTTTCCTATCCTGTCTTAATAGATTTTTACTACTGCTATTAAATTCTATTCAGTTACAACCAATCCTTATGGCTATCTTGTCAGAAGTCTGCTAATAGTATATTTAAGTTTATGGCCAATAGAATTTCCAAAGCCTCTAACAGTTAACCCAAGATGGTTTCAGAAGACTTGGACACCGGACACCTAGAAGATACAGCCTAGATTCTATGCGATGGTATAGTCACTAACAAATGCAGTGGGCTAGACTGGATGCTCTGAGTCAAATGACTTAGCTAAGTCAAACCAAGGTAGGTCATTTCTCATGTCACGCGTATCCATTCCACAGAAAAAAGCCCCGCGTCTTCTGCGCTTGGAAGCCAAACTGACTTCACCCAAGAGACTATGGAGACCACGGGAACTGTTGGCTAGTGGACTCTGTCATTTCTTAAAATAATATATAACTGGTAGATTGTTGTTTACTCTTTCTCAGACTTCTGACTACATTGACAGCTAAGCTTTCACAGATATTATCTGTTACCTCATTACCTAAACTCAGTTGCCATCAGTTAAATGCTTCATATTTCCTCTTCTCATTATCCCACTGTCCTAATATTGTCTGAGTTCCTATAAACTTGCCTAACTCTAATAAAACATTCCACTATATGATCCAACAAAGGCTCATCTTAAAGACTGCTCATGTTGTTAACTCATGCTGTTATCTGTTTTGTAAACTTATAAGCTACAAGAAACCCACTCAGATCTACCTCTCATGGACCAAACAGATGTCATCCAGATCTTGTTAAGTCCAGGCACATCCAAAACAGCTTCAGAGAAGCAACCTCCAGATGCTCCATCTCCTGTCACACACACAGCTGCTTCTACTGGACCTGTTCCTTCTGACCTATCCTCAGATGGCTCGCTCCATAGACCCTGGAAATATCCTCCATACTCATTCTTCTAGGTTCCCCCTAAAGACATGTCGCCCCCAATGCCAGCAGGAAGTAGCCAGATATCACGAAAACCCTATTCCTGCTTTGCCATCACCTCTTTCTAATTTTTCTTTTTTAATTAAACCAAAATGGAGGACTGTTAGTATTCTGTCTAAACTCCACCTCCACAGTTATCTGGCAACAGCCAGGTATACTCCTCCCCACAGTTACCTGGCAACAGCCAGGTAGGCCTGCCCACTATAAAAGGGGCTGCTTGCCTCCTCCTCCTCCTCCTCCTCCTCCTCCTCCTCCTCCTCTTCCTCCTCCTCCTCCTCCTCCTCTTCCTCCTCCTCTTCTCTCTCTCTCTTTCTCTCTTACCCCTAGCTTCTCTCTGTTTCCTCGCCCCTCCCTCTTCCCTTCCCCCTCTCTCCACGTGGTCGTGGCAGGGCTCTACTTCTCTTCTTCTTCTCTCTTCTTCCATCTTCTTCCTCTACTTCTCCCCCCCCACCTTTGCCCTATCTCCTGAATAACACCCCCACCCTTGGAACCATTTGGTCTGGTTTTGTCTGTTCTATGTTATGCCCAGACGTCTAACAATTTCTATATCTAGCTCAAGAATACACTCTTAGAAACAAGAGCTGTGGTTAGCATTGAAAGAAAGGCTATGCCTATCCCCACCCCTCTATTTTGGGAGTCTAGTCTATTACGTCATTTGCTTCTTTGTATCTTTTTATGTGGGTACTTTCCTGGAAGTCAGAGGGCAGGTTACAAAAGTTGGCTCTCTGGTTCTCTCCATCTACCCTGTGGAGCCATGGGGTCAAACTCAGGTCCCCAAGCTGTGCACCTCCCTGTACGCTTCCCCCTGTTTAAAACTCTCATTATTTCCATCCTGTGTCTATAACCTCTGCTGCCACCTAGTGGCAGATGTTATACGAGCAAAGCTACTGTTTTTTGGGGAGGGTTGAATCATTCTGGGTCCCAAAAATTAAAAAGAAATAAGAACATACAAGCAGAAGAGAAGCTACGATGGGAAAGCAATAGAGGGTAATGGAGCTGTGATCAAATATGATCAAAATACATTATACACATGTAAGAAAATGTCACAATGAAACCATTATAATAATGGTTTAACAAATGTATGGTGATAAAAAATTTTTTAAAGGGAGCCTTCGAGATGGTTGAGAGTAAAGGTGTACACCTACACACACTCTCATGAGGCAAAGGCAAATAAAATTTAAACAATAAAAGTGAAAAATAAAAAGGGCTAGAGAGATGGCTCTGTGGGTAAAGGCACTTGCTGCCAAGCCTGATTACCCAAATTCTATACCCGGGACCCACAGATGGAAGGAGAGAACCAACTCCTCCCTTAAGTTGTCATCTGTCCTCCACACGCGTTGCATGCACATGCTTCTCTCACACACTCAAATAAACAGATGTAGTTTAAAAAGAAAATTTTAAACTAAAGATCAAGAAGAAAGAAGCTTAAGTCTGGGCAAGAGTACTCCGGAGGAGGCAGCCTGCGCAGCCCCCTTGGGCGAGCTGGAACTACAACTCCCGGCCTCCTTTGGGCGGGTAAGGGCGGATCGCTCCACGGGATTGGGCCTTCCCCCATGGGGCGGGGCTTGAGGAGAGGCCAGTCTTCCTCTGTTGCCAGGGGAGACCGCCGCAAGGAGGCGGAAACTGCGGAGGGAGGCGGAGAGTGCCGAGGCGGCACGCGGGAAGCTCTCGCGGCCATGGCGGCCTTGGGCCCCGCGAGTCGCTTCTGGTGCTCGTGTCCCGAGGTGCCCTCCGCCACATTCTTCACCGCCCTGCTCTCGCTGCTGGTGTCGGGCCCCCGCCTGTTCCTGCTGCAGCCGCCTCTGGCGCCCTCGGGGCTGTCTCTGCGCTCCGAGGCCCTGCGCAACTGGCAAGGTGAGCAGAGGCGGGGCGGGGATGGCGCGCTTCCTCAGCCCGCAGACTCCCCGGTCCCTGATCTCCAGCCTCACTGCCAGCCAACCCCCAGCCTCCGTACTCACCACCATTCTCCCCACTTGGAGCTCCAGCATGTCGTGTCCAAAGCTGTATCTTTTCCGCCAATTCCTTCCCTACCCAGAATCATCCCCTTCCCTGTTACCTCAGATCCATTCATTCTTTGATCTCGAGGGTGAATACACTTCCTAAGCTCCTCTCGTTTTATAAACACAAACCCCATCTGCTGAAGGCCTGAACCCCAGAGGAACAAATCAAACGTCTCTCGCCTTCATCGTGACAATTGAACCTTGTCTGTTGTCACCCCAATGAATGGCTTTTCCTCTTGACTCCAGAATTTACTGCTGTGTCTTTACCTTAATCCTGACTCTTAATTCCAGCTCCCGGTAAAGTGTTTGTTTTCTCAGGGGAGAGAGATTTCTCAGACCAGTTAAGTCTGGTAATCATTCTTTTGTAAAAGACAGGATTCCTAGTCTTTTTTCTTCCTCATTCTTTCCTGGGAAATCCCTGTTGCTTCTAACGTTAACAGAGGCTTGTGCATTCATTTCATGTAATCCTCACTGAGATTTCATGACAGGCCATATTAAATTGCCTGTTTACCAGAAATTGAGGCTGAATACAGAGAATCACAGAGCTGAATACAGAGAATCACATCATACTATTGAGGTAGGAGCCCAGCATCTTGTTTTTAGTAAGATGATTTAGATCCCCACATCTTTAGATAGATGCACACATATGCGACACATTTATTGATATGCCCGTGTGCACACATGTGGAGGTCAGAGGACAACCTGACAGGAGTCTTTCTCTTCTTCCCCCATGTGGGTCCTGGGAATCAAACTCAAGTCTTTGGGATTGGCATCAAGTACCTCAACCTGTTGAGCCGTCTCATCAGCTACCTAAGTCTTAGAGAGCTGCGTGTAGAATCTTTTCATATTTACCAGTAAAAGTTAAATTTGGGATGTATTCAGCAAATAACCAAGCTTCTGGAGATAGTCTGAAGAGATAGTCTGACTAGGGTGTTATAGCCTCCCACTTAAAGCTGAAACTTCTCCCCTTCTTCTGGATACATGTAGCACTTGTAGTCGGCTAAATGCCAGTGTGGCACACACCCTCTTTCTGGGTTTGGGTGTTTGTTGTTTGTTTGTTTGTTGCTTGACTTTGCAACAAAATGGTCTTGGTATTTATTTACACCAGAATGGCCAGAACTCATCGTGTAGTCCAGCCCAGGATCCTCCTGCCTCACCCTTCTGAGTGAACGCAGACATGCACCACTACGCTTACTTAACCTATGCTTGTCTGAGCGTGGGGTCCATGAACAGGTAAAGATAAGGTTCCATCAAGGACCTCAAGTCTGACCATGTGATTTTCTATTGAGGAAATTAAAGCCATGGGGGTACGGACCTTGGACTTGACTCAGGCAGCCTGGTTATGATAAGGCTAAGACCACGCTCCCATCCCACCCACCCCCACCCCGCTAAGTCTTACAGTCCTGAGAATGACTCCATCTCTTCATCCATCTGCCTATTGCATGTTAGGATTTCAGCCCACAGAAATAGTTAAGTACATGAGAGAGCCAGCTGTGGTGATATGTACCTTTGATCCCAGCACTGAGCAGGCGAAGGCAGGTGGATCTCTATGAATTTGAGGCCAGCCTGGTCGTCTCCATAGGAAGTTCCAGGCCAACCAGGGCTATACAATAAGACCCTATCTCTAAAAAACACAAAAAAGAAATTAGAGCCCTGTAAGGTGGCTCAGCATGTACCTTGCTGCCACTCGTGAGAACTGCGGTTTGATCTCTGGGAACTGAGATCATGGTAGAACTTACTTCTGAAGGTTTTTCTCTGACCATGTACTCCCATATACCCACAAATAAATACATACCATTTTTTTTAATTATGTATGTTACCAGTAACTTGTATTTGGGAGCAATGTATAGACCAAATATGGCAGACACTTATAGTCCCAGCATTCAAAAGGCTGAGGCAAGAAGATTGTGGGTTTGCAGCTGGTCTGGGCTACATATCAAAACCTGTATCCAAAAAAAAGTCCAAATGTGGTGTCTTACACCTATAATCCCAGCCCCCAGGAAGCAGGAACCAGCCTGTTCTACACAGCAATGCATACACCAGACAGGGCTGCATAGTGAGACCTTGTCTCATACAGAGAGAGAGAAAAGGACTTTCTGTAAAACTGGAAAAGCACTCTTTAAGAAGACTCTTTCTTAATCTATGTATATTATTAATGATAATTTTATGGTCCTTATAATTCATGGTTCCTTTTTCTTCCCCTGAACAGCCTCTATGGAAGAAGAGGCCAGAATTCCAGCTGAGGAGACTGGCACCCAGAGTGTTAAGTGAGACCCACTCAGTCTCACCCTGAAGCTGTCACAATTAATTAACCCTCACACTGCCTAGTGAGGTAGGTTAGTATTAAAAATCTAGAAAGAGGAGGGCTGGAGAGATGGCTTGTTGGTTATGAGAACTAGCTGCTTTTGCAGAGGACTCTAGTTTGCTTCCCAGAGCTTCACATGGGGCAGCTCCCGACTGCCTGTAACTCCAGCTCCAGGGGGACCCAGCTTCTGGCCTCCACAGTAGCAGACACAGCTACACAACAATAAAAACACGTCTTTAAAAGAACACCTAAAACAATGGTGTAAAGCATTTGGCACGTTCAGAAACCACTCTGGTTTTCAAAAGTTTTCTTTTTCACACATAGAAGTTGGTCTCGATCACCTCTGCCTCAGGGCTGGGAAAGGATGGAGACAACGTTATGTGCTCACGCTTTGAATCATGGGAATTGGTTTTGATAACCGGGGCTCCAGGGCCAGGAAGGAACAGAAACTATATTATATACGTATGCCTTGAATCATGGGCACTTTCCTGTTCGGTTTTTTGGTTTTTTGTTTCTTGTTACGGTTTTTGTTTTTTTTGTTTTTGAGACAGGATCTCATGTAGTTCAAGCTGGTTTTAAATTCACAGTATAGCTGAGAATGACCTCGAACTTGTGATCTTCCTGTCTGCCTCCCAAGTGCTGGCATCATCGGTGTACACCATCGCTTCCTGTGTGAGGTGTCTGCACTGCTAGTAATGGAAGCAGGGCCTTGTGCATGCTGGTCAGGCTCCCTACCAACTGTGCTGCAGCCCAGCCTCTGTTCTCCCTTCCCTAGCTGGCCTGGGACCTGCTTGCCCTGGTTGGAATAGCACAGCCCTGGACCGATAACCGGCACCCATCTTTAGTTTACAGGCTGGTGACTTACATCTTCGTCTACGAGAACCCGGTCTCCCTGCTCTGTGGCGCCGTCATCATCTGGCGCTTTGCTGGCAACTTCGAGAGGAGTGTGGGCACCGTCCGCCATTGCTTCTTCACCTTGATCTTTACCATCTTCTCGGCCATCATCTACCTGTCATTTGAGTCTGTGTCGTCGCTGTCTAAGCTGGGCGAGGTGGAGGATGCCAGAGGGTTCACCCCAGTGGCTTTCGCCATGCTGGGGGTCACCTCAGTCCGCTCTCGCATGAGGCGGGCCCTGGTGTTCGGTGTGGTGGTGCCTTCCGTCCTCGTCCCGTGGCTGCTGCTGTGTGCCTCCTGGCTCATCCCTCAGACCTCCTTCCTCAGTAACCTCTCTGGTCTTTTGATCGGTCTCTCATGTATCCTTCCTGGGAGGGAGCTGCAGAGGGAAGCTTCATCAGAGGGTGAACCCACCTGGAGGCTGTGGGGTGTCAGGTACACAGCCTCAGGCTCCTACACAAGCAGCCTGGGCTTGCCCTCCAGCTTGGAAAACCTGAGAGCCTTGGGCAGCTCTCTTCCCCTCTCTGGACCAGAACTCATCTGGAAAATGCGAATATGGCTGCCTGCCCAGACCAGCTCAGCTCAGCTCATTAGCAGTTTGGGCTTAATTGCACCAGTGTGACTTTTTTTTCTTGTAAACTGAGGTGTAAGGTTTCATTGGAAGAGGGCTAGGAAGATGGCTGCCTCAATAAGGCACTTGTGAGAACTTGAGGGCACAAGTCACAGCCCAGGACCTTCAAACTCCAATCTCTGCACTGGGGAGGTGGAGACAGGTGAGTCCCTAGTGCTCACAAGCCCACCAGCCTAGCCTAGTTCCATGAGTTCCAGATCAAGTGAGAGACCCTAATACTCCTGAGGATAAACACCAGGGTGGGCTGGACAAATCTGCGATGCCTGTCACCTTGATGTTAGTGGAAGGGTTAAGAGACAGACCTGGGCTTGTTCTGATTTTACAGGGTGAAGACTGTCAAGCGCAGGGTACTGTGTGTGATTCACAGGCACTCTACCACTGAGCTACATCTCGGCCCTTGATTTTCTCTATATCAGAGGGAGAGTCACTGTAACAGGGCCTTGCTATAAGGCCGAGGCTGGCCTCGAGCTTAAGACCCTCAGTCTCCTGAGTGCTGGGATTGCTGGCTCACGGCCACACCTGGTACCACACCCCAGTTACAAACTTCTTGGTGTGCACATTTCTTTTCTTTCTATTTTTTAAGACTTATTTTTATTGATGAGTAAGACTGAATATGTGCACGTACATGCTGGTACTTGTGGAGGCCAGAAAAAGGTGACAGGTTCCCCAGGAACTGGAGTTACAGGTGGTGGTGAGCTGCTGTGTGGGTGATAGGAACTTGACTTGGGTCCTCTAGAATAGCAGTTTGCACTCTTAACTGTGGAGCCATCTTTAGATTCCCTGTCCTCAAAAGATAACTTCTTTCTGAGGTGGGGTCTCGCTGTGGATGACCTGGAACTCACTGTGTAGACCAGACTGGCCTCAAGCTCCTGTCAGTCTGCCCACCTCCTCCTGAGTGCTGGGATTAAGTTCTAGGTATATGCACCACACCCAGCTTGCCTCTTGTAGTTCTGAGGTAAGGTAGCCTACTTGGGGCTTGAGCTGCCTGAGGCAGAGGAGTGTCAGCGGCCTCTCCCCCTCCTGCTGCCTTCAATTTTACTTAATACACCTACCTCAGATGGCCTCACCTACTGCTACTCCCTCGACCTCTCTGAGCGAGTAGCCCTGAAGCTTGATCAGAAGTTCCCCTTCAGCGTCATGAGGAGGATTCCCTTGTTCAAGTACATCTCAGGTTCTTCTGCCGAAAGAAGAGCAGCCCAGAGCCGTAGGTAAGTGATGGACTCCCTCCCCGTTTTGGTTGCATGGTCAGTTTCAGTGATGGGGGTAGGGCCCAAGGCCTTTCGCATGTGTGTCACGTGCTCTGTTCATGGTCTGCCGCCCACCTTACCTTTGGTTTTGTAAGTCAATGTCATGGATAGCCAGGGTTGGCTTTGAACTCTCACCTGTACCTCTCTGATATCAGGCTGTAGATAGACTCCCACAACCAGCTCTCTGTCTCCTTCCAAGAGCAACTGCAGAGCCAGTGAGGGTGAGGCTGATTCACCTTGGAGGATACAGTAGGGAAACACAGTTTCTCGGCTATGGACGACTAAGGGTTGTAGTTCTAGTTCAGCATAGATTCCCTGCCTAGAATCCCCCAGTGAGGAGCTAGGGGTGTGGTTCAGTGGTAGAACTCCTGCCCAATTCACACGAATCCCTGGGCCCCAGCACTGCAAATAAGGAAAGAAAATCTGTGAACAAATATCTTCTGAATACTGACTGCTGCCCTATGTGTGTGTGTGTGGGGGGGGGGAACAAGCCTGAGTGGCCAAAGACACTTGCATGTAGTTCTGAGTGATTCATGGATAGATAATATTTTTTTTAAAGATTTATTTATTATATATGAATACATTGTAGCTGTCTTCAGACACACCAGAAGAGGGCATCAGATCTCATTACAGATGGTTGTGAGCCACCATGTGGTTGCTGGGATTTGAACTCAGGACCTCTGGAAGTGCAGTCAGCGCTCTTAACCACTGAGCCATCTCTCCAGCCCCCTAGATAATATTGTTTGGTTTTTGTTTGTTTGTTTGTTTTGTTTTGTTTTTTCGAGACAGGGTTTCTCTGTGTAGC